CTAGAAATATTTTGTAACAGATGTTTTTGTCACCTGTGTGTTCTCTTTTCATCTTCGTGAGAACTTGAAGAATCTGTGTGTCATGGATGCTGTTCTTGCTCTGTTTCTCTTGTGTTATCTCCCATTTCTTTCTCCTCCTCCTCCTCCTCCTTCTCTCCTATTCCTTGCTTTATTTTTTTTCTCCTTCTGCTCTCGTCGTCATCTCCATCTTCGTCTTTATTCTTATCTTCACTCATATCTTTACCTTTTTCACTTCCCTTTTCTCTTTCCCATCATCCTCATTCTCCCTTCCACCCTCCCCCCCCCTTCATCCTTACCCTCACCTTCACTCTCACTTTCACGTTAATCCCGTCTATCTTCTTCTCCTCTGCCTTTGCCCTTTTTACTATCCTATTCCCTCTCTCCTCTCTCTTTCTTCCTCTTTTACTTCGTCTGATCTTTCATTTCTTTCCCCACCTTTTATTTTCTTCGCCATTTGCTTCAGCTTTTTCATCTATTTTCCCTTCATCTCTCCTGCAAATTTTCCTCTATTTTGTCTCTCTTCTCTGCTCTTGCCTCTTGCCTTTCCCTTCTCCTCCCTCTTACCTCTTTATTACTTTCTTTCATCTCTTTTTCTCTTCCCTTATCCTTTTCCACCCTTTTTACCTCTTTATTATTTACCTTCATCTCTTTTTTTCCTGCTTTACCCTTCTCCACTCTTCTTACCTCTTTATTACTTACCCTCATCTCTTTTCCCTTCCCTTACCCTTCTCTTGCCTCTTTACCCGTTATTGCTTACCCATATCTCTTGCCTCTTACCCGTTTTCTCTTCTCCTCTCTCCTTACCTCTCTACTCCTATCCTAACTTTTTGCCAATCTCCTTACACTATTCCTCCCTCATTACTCCTTGCTACTTACCTTCATCTCTCTCTTCTCAGACGCACGTTTTCTTCTTCTCCTTTTTCCTTCTCTTTTTCTTTCTCTTCCTCTTTCTCTTCTTCCTCTACTTCTTCTTCTTCATAATTATCTCCAACATCATCGTCATTTTCATTTTCTTCTTCTTCTCATCCTTCCTTACCCCCTTTCCCACTACCCTAATATCTTGCCTCTGTCTTGCCTCTTGCCCATAGGTGCCAGTTCGACGCCTGCGGTTGTGACACGGGCGGTGACTGTCACTGCCTCTGTACCGCCGTGGCCGCCTACGCCCATGAGTGCAACATCCATGGCGTGTACATTGCGTGGAGGACGCCCGATTTCTGCCGTGAGTATGCGATGAAGGGAGGGAGATGGGAGGAGGGAAGGGGAGGGAAGGAGGGCGGGAGATGGGAGGGAAGGGGAGGGAAAGAGAAAGAAAGAGAGAGAGAGAGAGAGAGAGAAGGGAGTGAGAGAGAGAGAGAGATAGAAGATAGAGAGAGAGAGATAGAATGGAGAGAGAGAGAGATAGAATGGAGAGAGAGAGAGAGATAGAAGGGAGAGAGAGATAGAAGGGAGAGAGAGAGAGAGAGAGAGAGAGAGAGAGAGAGAGAGAGAAATAGAAGAGAGAGAGAGAACGACAGGGAGAGAGATAGAAGGGAGAGAGAGAGAGAACGACAGAGAGAGAGAGAGAAGAGAGAGAGAGATAGAAGAGAGAGAGGAGGGGAATAGAATGAAAAAGAATAAGAAAAAGAAAAAGAGAATATAAATGAGAGAAAGGGGAAGGAGAAAGAGAAGAGAGAATGGGGGAAAGAAAGAAGAAGAAAAAGAGAAAGAGATTATAAGAGAGAGAGAGAGCGAGAGAGATAGAAGGGAGAGAGAGAAAGAGAGAGAGAGAGACTCAAACAACAAGTGGGATCCCGCCAAGGGTGAAGTAGCCACCCACTCTCAGCAAATATAACTGTCTCTTCCCTCTCCCGGGCGCCCCTCCCGTTAGAGTATTTGTAAAAGCTATCATTTAAGAAAACACAAAGTCTTAGGGCTAACGTTTTAGTCAAGAGGAAAATGGGAATCGAATTTGAAAAGGATTGTAATGAATATTTGAAGTTTTAAGGTTTAGTTTAGGAAAAAAGTTGATGTTTAAGTTGATGTTGTATTAATGATTAGCGAAATTAGATTTTACTTTGTTTTTTGTTTTTTTTTCAGTGCTCAAATTTTCGAAAGTTTCGAAATAATGGTTTTAAAAGGACTGCATTAGAGTTTAAGGTTTGATTTTTTTCTAAGTTTGAAAAGGTTTTAAAGTTTTGACATTTATTTAAGCTTTGAAGCAGAGTAAAATACAGGAATAACAACTTTTAAAGAGGCTTAAATATGCGTCGTAAAATATATGCCATTAATCTTTTCGATTGACCCTTACTCACTCCACGCGCCACGTTTGTATATCCAAAACATCAAAACGCCGAGTGAGAGATGAAAAAAAAGATTAAAAAAAAAAGTTATGTATATTTATAGCTTCGAAATTATATATATTTCGCGCCACTCGACTTGATCTATCGTCCGTCAGATGGCGCGCCGAGAGTCTCTTAGCTGACGTAGATAAAAGTATTTTTGAACTTATGTATCACTTGCTCTTTTTTTGGATCATTCTGTATATGTTGTTTGCGTAAGATATCTTGGGACTGTATTTGGTTTGGCATTGTGAAATGGTTATGATGGTGATGATGATTGTGATTACTAGTAGTAGTAGTATCATCATCACCATCATCATCACCATCATCACCAACACCACTACCTCCCTCATCCCCCTCATCTCTCTCATCTCCCTCTATCACCCCCATCCCCCTCATCTCCCTCATCCCCCTCACCTCCCTCATCACCCCCATCCCCCTCACCTCCCTTCACCTCCCTTCATCTCCCTTTATCTCCCTTCATCTCCCTTTTATCCCCACAGCCATGCAATGCGACGTCGACTGCGAGCATTACGAGTCGTGCATTCCGACCTGCCCGCACGAGACCTGCGACACCCTCATGGACCCGGCGTCACCTCTGTGCGTTCAGGATGCGTGTGTCGAAGGTAAGGATTTTAAGAGAGAGAGATTCGGTTTTGTGTGTGTGTGTGTGTGTGTGTGTGTGTGCGTGTGTGTTTTTGGTAGGTTTTCTTGTGTGTGTGTGTTTTTTTTTTTGGTAGGTTTTCTTGTGTGATGTTTTTTTTTGTGTGTGTGTGTTTTTTTTTTGTTGTTTTTGGTGTGTGTGTGTTTTTTTTGTTGTTGTTGTTCTTTTGGTGTGATTGTTTTTGTTATTACCATTTTTTAGTTTTCTCTTCCTTTTTCGTAGTCTTCTTCTTTCTCTTACTCTATTTCTCCTTACTCCTTTTCCTCTTTCTCTTTCTCTCGTCCTTCTTCCTCTTCCTCTTCCTCCTTCCCACCCTTCTCCTTCCCACCCTTCTCCTCCTATTCCTTTTCCTCCTCCTTTTCCTCCTCCTCCTCCTCCTCCCCCCCTTCTCCTCTTCCTCCTTCTCCTCTTCCTCCTCTTCCTCTTCCTCTTCCTCCTCCTCCTCCTCCTCCTCTTCCTCCTCTTCCTCTTCTTCCTCTTCCTCCTCCTCCTCTTCCTCCTCCTCTTCCTCCTCTTCCTCTTCCCCCTCCTCCTCTTCCTCCTTCTCCTCTTCCTCCTCCTCTTCCTCCTCCTCCTCCTCTTCTTCTTGCTCTTCCCTTCACTCTAGCTCTTCTTCCTCCACTCATCCTTCCTCCTCCTCTTCCTCCTCCTCTTCCTCCTCCTCCTCCTCCTCTTCCCCCCACTCTAGCTCTTTTTCCTCCTCCTCCTCCTCTTCCTCTTCCCCTCACTCTAGCTCTTCTTCCTCCACTCATCCTTCCTCCTCCTCCTCTTCCTCTCCCTCCTCCTCCTCTTCCTCCTCCTCTTCCTCCTCCTCCTCCTCCTCCTCTTCCTCTTCCCTTCACTCTAGCTCTTCTTCCTCCACTCATCCTTCCTCTTCCGCAATACTCCTTATTATATCCTCCTTGAAACCACTTGTTTTCGTGTGTACTTTTTGTCTGTCCACTTTGAGCCTCTCGCTGTTTTATATATATGTGTGTGTGTGTGTGTGTGTGTGTGTGTGTGTGTGTGTGTGTGTGTGTGTGTGAGTGTGTAAAAATAGGTCGATAGATGTGTGAGTGTGTGGAAATAGGTCGATAGATAGAGGGATAGATAGATAGAGATAGATAGATGGATAGATAGGTAGATAGATCTATAGATGTATGTATGGATGCTTATATATGTATAGAAATAAGTAGATTGAAATGTAGACAGGCAAATAGATAGACAGACAGACAAATAGATAGACAGACAGGCAAATAGATAGACAGACAGACAAATAGATAGACAGACAGGCAAATATATAGACAGACAGACAAATAGATAGACAGACAGGCAAATAGATAGACAGACAGACAAATAGATAGACAGACGGGCAAATAGATAGACAAACAATTAATCAAACACACAGACCAAAAAATAGAACGCTAAATACGCCTTTTTTTCACCATTGACTTTCATAAAACCGTTTGTAATTTCCCCTCGATCTTCCCTTTCACAACGGCCCCTCCCTCCTGCAGGATGTGCTAAGGACGTGTGCCCCCCCGGCTACGTGTACAAGAGTGCCAGTGACGTCGAGTGCGTGCCTAAGGCCGACTGCGAGAAGAAATGCCTCGAGATTGACGGTGAAGTCTACATGGAGGGTGACGTCATTTCTGAGGACGACTGCCATACCTGGTGTGTTAGTGGTTTGGTTTGTTTTTGTTTTTTTTTTGTTTTATTTATCTATTTTTGTTTTGTTTCTGTTTTTATTGTTTTTTTTTGGGGGGGGGAGGTTTCATGTGTGTGGTTTTAGAGGTTTATTTTTCGATTTTTTTTTTCTGTTTGGGTGATATTAGGTTTATATTGTTAATTGCTGACATTGTGTTTTATTCTTTTCTATCATTATTACTGTTGTTATTATTGTGTTGCGGTTATCATTAACATTATTGCTATTATTATTATTTGTATTATCATTATTATTATTATTACTATTATTATTATTATCATCATAGTGATAATCATTATTATTATCATTATTATTATTATTATTATCATTATTATCATTATCACTATTGTCATTATTATCATTAATATTATTATCATTATCATAGTTATTATCATTGTTATTGTCGTTATTATTACTATCATTATTCTTATCATCATCCTCCCCCCCCCTCCCCTCCAGCGTGTGCACGAGGAAGAAGAAGATCTGCCGCGGCACGCCCTGCGCCCCTACCACCACGCCCATGGTCTCCCCGCGAGTCACCACGCCCTCGCCGTCTCCCGCTGTGACGACGCCCTCCCCCCCCGGCGTCACTCCCGAAGAGGGCGAGTGCAGGGACGGCTGGAGCGAGTGGGCGAGCGACGACAAGCCCATCGTTTTCCGCAAGAATTCCGACGCGGAGATGATCCCCGCCAAGATCAAGCAGGTGGGTGGGTGGGTAGGAGGGGGAGGGGGTTGGGTGGGGAGGGGGGAGAGGGTGGGGGGGTTGTGAAGGAGGGGGAGGGGGTTGGGTGGGTGGGGAGGGAGAGGGTGGGGGTTGTGAAGGAGGGGGAGGGGTGGGAGGGGGTAGGAGGGGTTGTGAGGGAGGGGAAGGGTGGGAGGGGTGAGAGGGAGGGTGGGGATGGGAGAGGGAAGGGGTGGGTTGTGGGGGTTGGGGTGGGAGGGGGTAGGAGGGGTTGTGAGGGAGGGGGAGGGAAGGTTAGGGTTGTGGGGGGAGGGGTTGTGGGGGGTATGAGGGAGGGAAGGGGTGGCGGGGGTAGGAGGGAGGGAGGGAGGGAGGGGGAGGGAAGGTTGGGGTTTTGGGAGTGAGGGGTGGTAGCGGGGGGGGGAGTCTGGGGGAGGGGAGAGGGAGGGGGATTTGAGTTTTTTCCCGTTTTCTGTTGTTTGGGATGACTGAGATTTTTTCTTTCTTTCTTTCTATTTTTTCTCCTTTTTTGGGAGGGGGGAGGGGAAGGGGGAAGGATAGACGAGAAAATCTAAGAAAGTAGTAAAATTCGTGATCTAAATTTCCCTACGTTTCCGTTATCTGAGATGCTTTTTCTTTTTTCTTTCTTTCTTTCTTTCTTTACATTATAAGGAGGGATAGGATGTTGTATTGTGAGGTGAATCAACATGCTAAAAAAATAATAATAATAAAATAAAAAAATAAAATTAAGAAAAAATAAAATAAAAAAACAGTGACCCACGAAGCTTTAAAAAAACAAAACAAAACAAAAACATCTCTTCGTTCCAGGGCAAGCCAGGCCAAGGTTTCTGCGACCGAAGCCAAGTGACGGACATCCGGTGCAGGAGCGTAGGGACGCACCGCCCCCACACGGAGCAGAGGGGCGTCAGGTGCTCCGTGGACGAGGGCCTCCTCTGCCGCGGCCGAGACGATGCCCAGGCAGACGAAGCTTGCTGGAACTACGAAATTGCTGTCCTTTGCGACTGTAGTGAGTAGAAGCCGATGTAGGGTTTGTTGGGGGGAGGGGAGGGGGGAGGGTTGTTGGGTTTGGGTGTGTGTGTGTGTGTGTGTGTCTGTCTGTTTTGTATGTGTGTGTGTTTGTGTGTGTGTCTATTTTTTGTTTATATGTGTGTGTGTGTCTATTTTTTTGTTTGTTTGTGTGTGTGCGTGTGTGTGTGTGTGTGTGTGTGTTTGTGTCTATTTTGTGTGTGTGTGTGTGTGTGTGCGCGTGCGTGCATGCGTATGTGTGTGTGTGCGTACGTGTTGCATGTGTGCGTGTACTGATTCAAGCAAATATCCTTTTCTTGTAAATACTTGAGCAGGTATTACAGTTTGGAAATATTTATACCGTATCCGGATAACCTTTAAAAAAAATCAACAATACCCAAATCAAGAACAAACCAAACGTCAAAATAAACACGCCTAACCTCCTCCACCCCCTTATAATCGTCCATAACATTACGTAAACCGAACCGAGATCTTTCCAAAAATAAAACCACAATTTATCTCTCTTCATCCTCCCTCAGGCATCGTCACCACACCGGCCCCTCCGGTAACTACGCCCGCCTCCCCCTTCACGCCGCCCATCATTTCTACGCCCGTTGTGTAAGTTTTTGGGCGCCACACGCAGACGGCGGTGGTAGCTGTGACTGGCTCGGTTTTATTATGTATTTATTGAGATAGGTTGTTGTTTTCTTTGCTTTTGTTTTCTTTTTATTTAGTTTTTTTGTTTGTTTGTTTGTTTTTTTACTTTTTCTTAGTTTTTCTTTCTCTTTTTCTTTGCTCTTCTTTCTCTTTTTTCTTCCCATTCTTTTGTATTTTTTCTTCTTCACATTCTCTTTCTATTTTCTCTTTTTTTTCTCTCTGTTTTTGCATTAGAGTTTGAATTTAAGAATATCTGAACAGTTCATTAGAAAACACAATGTATTTATAGGTTGATATTCATGTATTTTATAATGTTTTAGAAAACTGTTATTTGAGCTTTTATAATACAATATTTCTCTACACAATGGATCACAAAAGTAACATTTCCTCACGTACCAATTAAAGAATTTTAACGCATATTAGCCACAAGGAATATTCAGGAAATATAACTCCTCACAGAAAACGCAAACCGATTATCAGTATTATGAAAGAAAACGGCAATAGTTACAATCTATGAAATGCATTATTGTTTATCTGTTTATCCATCTAATTTATCTATTGTTCCATTTTTTTTGTTCGTTCCAGACCCCCTGTGACTGCCCCGACCCCCATGACCTGCGAGGAAGAAGGCTGGTCGAGTTGGTACAATATTCATTTCCCGGATGCCAGCGGGGAGTTCGAGTCTGTCGACGAAATCAGGAAGGTGGGTTGGTGGGTTGGTGGGTTACGGGCGTAAGGTCGTTCGGAACCGTGGGTTATTGGCGGTTTTAGGTGTCATTGTTTTTTTTTAAGAATTATTTGAGTGGTGTTTTGGTGATTTTTTTAGGGGGGTAGGTTTTTTTTTTTCTTCTTCTTTCTCTTTTTTTGGTTTTAAGGTCTTTCTGCTGCTGTTGTTGTTTTCTTTTTTTCTTACTATCTATCATTAATTCATCCAATAGATAAATTTGATATCGTGTTTTACGTTTTTTCTTTATTTTTGATCTCGTTTTTGCACTCTCTATCTTTCTTTCATTCATCCAAAAGATAAATTTGAATTCTAAGGAAAACAAATATATAGTCACCAGGACATATGAATCTAAGAGTAAAAGAGGTAAAAAAAAAAAAAGGAAATTGTGTAACCGTAAGCCAAGATACGTAATCGTTAATTTCTGTTCAAATGAATCACCCATTTTCTTCCAATAACCATCCATTTTTTTTTTTTTTTCAATAACCATCCATTTTCTTTCAATAACCATCCATTTTCTTTCACACACGCCCCATTTTTTATCCATCTACCTCCACTCTATCCCAGAAAAACGAAACGAAATTCATCTGATCTGACCAAACTTTCCCCTTCCCCCCTCCCCCCCTCCCCTCCCCCCCCTCTCCCCTCCCCCCCCCACAGATCAATGGCATCTGTCCCGACCACTATGTCTCCGAAGTTGAGTGTCGTCCTGTAGGAGGCGGCGACGTGGAGGCGGTGGTGACGTGTGACAAGAAGGGCGCGCGATGCCGGAATAGTGGTTAGTTTTTTTTTACTGTTTTTTTGTTTTGTTTTTTAATTTTTTTTTTCTGTTTTTTTTTTCGATGGGTCTTATGGGTATTTAATTTGTTTGTTTATTGTTTTATAAACATTTTATTTTCATCTTTATTTATATTCTTAATTTACCTGTGTATATATAGAGAGAATTTAAAAGACAGATTTTTCGAGATAATTTTGACGCACACGAAAACAATTAGAAAACAGATAGCCTAGTCCTAGTAAGAGCACGATTTTTCACTCGCAGGTGGAAAGCGCTATTGCAAGGACTACGAAATCCGAGTGCGTTGCGAGTGCGAGTGCCAGGACGGACTGGGCATGCAAGATTGGCGAATCCCCAATGACCGCATCACCGCCTCCTCCGTTCTGGACCCCGACGGCAATCCCCAATCAGCTCGTCTCTTCGCGGATTGGGCTTGGACTGCTCAGGACGTGAATCAGAATGACCAGGAAGCCATTCAGAAGGAGTGGTTGCAGGTAATAACGGCCGATCGAGTGGTGGTGATTCCTTATAGCGGGGTGTAGTTGATGCTCTTTTGTTTTGGCGGGAAAGTGTCACGGACGCTGGGCGAGTAAGATGGTGTTTTTTTTGTTTTTTTTTTAACTCATTCATGTTCTTATATATGTGTATATATATATAACTGACTTCTCCTTAAGCAAAAAAGAAAAAAAATATATATATATACATTAGCAAAACAATCTTATGCTTTCCAATTCTTACATCACGCCATTAAAAAAAAAAAAAAAAAAAAAAAAAAAAAAAAAAAAACAAAAAAACGAGCCAGTAAAAACATACATACATTAACAAAAAAAAACAACAACAAATACACAAATAAAACCAAAAATCCTCCCCCCGCAATTTTCACAGGTGGACCTCGGCGAAGTGAAGGAAGTGACCGGAGTGGTGACGCAGGGACACCCGCTGTTCAACTTCTACGTGGAGAGATTCGCCGTGCAGTTCTCCGAGACGGGGCTCAAGTGGGACAGTGTGAAGAGCGCGGACACGTCTTATGCAATGGTAATGTGGTTATTTCATTTTGTTATTTATCTATTTTTTTTATTTATTCATTCTTTTTTAGGTTTTGTTAGTTTTTTTTTTTTTTTTTTTTTTTTTACTGTCTTCGTGTGGTTTGGTGTTGTGGGAGATTTTTTTTTTTTTTTTTGAGGGGTTTTGTACATTGCTTCTGTGATGTATATGTTTTTTTTTCATCTTTTGGTTATTGAGTTGCAGTGTTATGATATATAACATAAAATTATATATTGTACTCTCATAAGAACCAATAACGCGCTTTTTTCGCTATCATAAACCCATTAATTGACAGAAGATCCTTACTATTCCAATGCTAGTAACTTATTACAACAAGCATTCCAAAACGAGTATCTAATTTATCTCTTCATTTACCAAACCATATTTTTTTCTGTTAAACATCGCATTTGACACTCCGTTTTCTAAACCATTATTCTATTTTCTCTCCCATAACACCCCATTTACCACTTTATTTTCAAATCTCATTTTTTTCTTTTAAACACCGCATTTGCCAGTTGTCATTTTCTCTTCTCCCTCCTTTACCCCCACTCCCCTTTACCACTTTTTCAAAACCATGATTTTTTTCTTCTCTCTCGTAAAGCGGCTCATTTGCCACTTCATTTCCCAACCATTATCATTTTCTCTTCTCACTCTCTTAAAACAATTAATTTGTCACTTTAACATTTTCCAACCATATTTTCTTCTCGTTTTTTTCCTAAATATTCTCTCTTCTCGTTTTTCCTTAATATTCTCTCTTTTCGTTTTTCCGCAAAATATTCTCTCTTCTTGTTTTCCCCTTAAATATTCTCTCGTTCTTGTTTTCCCCTTAAATATTCTCTCGTTCTTGTTTTCCCCTTAGATATTCTCTCTTCTCTTTTCCCTAAATATTCTCTCTTTTCGTTTTTTTCCCCTAAATATTCTCTCTTCCCTTTTTTTTCCCTAAACAGTCTCTCTTCTCGTTTTTTCCTTAAATATCTTTTCTTCTCGTTTTTTTCTCTAAATATTCTTTCTCGTTTTTTTCCCAAAAATATTGTCTTTCTCGTTTTTTTTCCTTAATCTTCTCTCTTTCTCGTTTCTTTCCCTAAATATTCTCTCTTCCCAACAGCAATTCACCGGCAACACAGACCAGGACACGCCGGTCACCAATCTGTTCCCTGAACCCGTGTACGCCCGTTATATCAGGGTGGTCCCTCTGCAGTTCTACCAGGCCATTTCTCTCAGGCTCGAACTCAAGGGCTGTGACGTCAAAGGTGAGTTTGAGTGTTGTTTGGTTGTTGTTTGGTTGTTGTTTGGTGTTTGTTTTTGTTGTTTTGAGGGGGAGGGGGTGGAAGGAGGAGCGGTTTGTTTATTTTTTTTATTTCGTTTCATTTCTTTTGTTTTTGTTTCGTGTTGGTTTATTGTTTGTTTGGATAGATAACTTTCTTTTATTTATTCGTTTTCTTTTGTTTATTTAGTTTGATTTGTTTCTTTTATTTATTCGTTTTCTTTTGTTTATTTAGTTTGATTTGTTTCTTTTATTGTTTTAGTTTATTTGTCTTTGTTCTTCTGTATATTTCTTGTTTTGTGTGTTTCAGTTTAGATTTCTATTTGTTTTGCTTGTTTCTTTATGTCTTTGTTTACCTTTCTTCTTTTGTTTATTTCTAGTCTTGTTTTATTTAGCTTTCTTTTTGTTTGTTTAACTAACTTTTTTGTTTTCTAGTTTGTTAAGCTTTCTTGTTTTGTTTATTTACCTTCTTGTTTTTGTTTTATTTTCTTTTATTTGTTTCTTTTCTTGCTTTGTTTAGCTTTTTTCCTCTTGTTTATTTACCTTCTTTTTTTTGTTTCTTGTTTTGTTTAGCTTTCTTATGTTTTTCTTTTACAGCTATATTATATTTTTTGTTGTTTTCTGTTTTTTGCTTTCTTTTGTTTATTTCTATTTTTTGTTTGTTTACCTTTCATTTTTTTCTTTCACTTTTTTGTTTTTATTGTTATTTATATTCAAGGGATTTGTTGGCAAAGGCTGTCAGTTTTTTATTTTATTTTATTTATTTATTTTCCTTTTTTTGATGGGGGATTTGTGTTCTTATTCTTATTAGTAAACCTCTAATATGACCGTAGTTTATTTTCTTACTTATGTTTCTGTTTAACTTTCATTGCAAAAGTAGAAAAAAAAGTTTGCCTTTTCTTTGACTTGTATCGGTTTAGCACTTATTAAACACTCTTTTTGAAAATGCATACAGAATGAACTCTATATAAACAGAAATTCATCGTTATAAAGATTAATTTATAATTTTTTTTTCCCACAGAAACGACGACTGTTCCAAGTAAGTTCGTTTGCGGAAATAATAAAATAAAATGAAAAATAAAAACGACTACTTTGAATGCATGATATACAGTAAAACATTACAATTTGATTTGTAAATTTAAAAATGATAATAATAATAAATCAATAGGCTACTTCATTACCATTATTGTTGTGATTATTAACATAGTTATTGATATCATTATCATTATTATTGTTGTTATTGATTTTATTATTGTTTTATTGTTGTTGCTATTTTATCTTTATTATTATTGTCTTTATTATTATCACTATTATCATTGTTATTAATATTTTTGTTATTATTACTATTATCATTATCATAATCACAATCACTCTCACTATCATCAAAATAACATTATTATCACTATCACAACTGTTGTTAATCCTGCTTTTAGCTTGGCCTCCCGTGCCCGAAACAACGCCCGTACCCGTCTGCACAGATGGATGGACGGAATGGATGAACACCCACACACCCAGCCCTGGAGATTGGGTGAGTTGCGTGCGAGTGAGTTGTGAGTTGCGTGTGTGGGTGGGAGGTACTCGTGAGATAGGAGATAGGTCGGGTTGGGGGGAGTGAGTGAGAGAAAGTGAGTGAGTGAGTGAGAGAGAGAAAGGGAGAGAAAGAGAGAGAGAGAGGGGGGGGAGCGAGAGAGAGAGAGAGAGAGAGAGAGAGAGAGAGAGAGAGAGAGAGAGAGAGAGAGAGAGAGCGAATGAGAGGGAAAGAGAGAGAGATAGAAAGATACAGAGAAAGTGAGTGGGTGAACGGATGGGTGAGAGAGAGAGAGAGAGAGTGAGAGAGAGAGAGAGAGAGAATGAGAATGAGTTAACGAGAGCGTATGTGTTGTGTCTAAAACACTTTTTAATTAATTTCCTCTACTTCTTTTACGTATTTCATTACACCAAAAAAAAAAAAATCCAAACCCGCTAGTCACATGACCTTCCACCAACTACCCCCCCCTTCCCCCCTTCCAGGATGACCTCGATGACCTGACCTCCTTATCGGCCAAGTACAGCTTCTGCCAGGCCCAGTACATCGTCGATACCCAGTGCCGCGTGGTAGGCCTGAATCAGCCGTATGATCTCGCCGGGCAGAAGGGCATCATTTGCAACATCAATAATGGTCTGCAATGCAATGACGACTTGCAGGCTCCTGAACGTGAGTAGCAAGTTAAAGTTTGATGTGAATGTGAGTGAGTGTGTGTGTGTGAGTGTGTGATACACATATACATACATATATATATATATATATATATATATATATATATATATATATATATATATATATATATATATATATATATATGTATATTATATATATATTTATGTATATATATACATATATATGTGTGTGTATGTGTGATATACATATACATATATATATATATATATATATATATATATATATATATATATATATATATATATATATATATATATATATATATATATATATATACATTTGTATATGCATATGTATATACATATGTATATATTTCTGTATATATATATATATGTGTGTGTGTGTGTGTGTGCGTGTGTGTACATATATATATATATATATATATATATATATATATATATATATATATATATATATATATATATATATATACATTTGTATATACATATGTATATACATATGTATATATTTATGTATATATATATATATATATATATATATATATATATATGTGTGTGTGTGTGTGTGTGTGTATACATATTTATCTATTCATATATGCATATGTTGTAAAAGAGAGAGATAATGATTTTTCCTCTAACCGAGACACCCTCCCCCCGTCCTCCGCCCCCGCCCCCCCCCCCCCCCCCATTCCCACAGACTGCTACGACTACGAGGTCCGCTTCTTCTGCGACTGCGGCCTTGCAACGACGACCGACGGGGGCCTTCCCGCCGCCCTTCCCGCCCGCGACGACCCCCCCGCCCGTCGCCACGCCCCCGCCCAGGAAGGAGTGCAGTGTGTGGGACGAGCAGATCAAACCCCACGAGACAGACTGCAGGAAGTTTTACGAGGTGAGTGGAGGAGGAAGAGGAGGAGGGGGGAAGGGGAGGAGGAGAGGGGGGAGGAAGAGGAGGAAGGGGAGGGGGAGGAGGAGGAGAGGGGGAGGAGGAGGAGGAGGGGGAGGACGTTGAGGAGGAGGAGGATGGGGGGAGGAGGGGGAGGAGGGGGAAGAGGAGGAGGAGGAGGAGGGGGAAGAGGAGGAGGAGGAGGAGGAGGGGGAAGAGGAGGAGGAGGAGGAGGAGGAGGGGGAAGAGGAGGAGGAGGAGGAGGAGGAAGAGGAGTAGGAGGAGGGCGTCGAGGATGATGGGTTTGTTTTCGCCGAACTCAGTCTTTGTTTGTTTGTTTGTCGTTTCTTTTGCTTATCAGCGTAAAACATTTCATTTTGTTTAAAATCTTATTTCGTCCTCTCTTCATGGATATAATTTTCTTTTAATTTGAAGTCTTATATTACCATTTGGTGAAAACCTATTTCGTCCTCTGTTCATGAATATAATTTTTTCCCCCTTTTTCCTTTCCCCCCTTTCCCCTTTTCCCCATTTCCCCTTTCTCCCTTTTCCCTCATTTCCCCTTTCTCCTTTTTCCCTCATTTCCCATTTCTCCTTTTTCCCCTTTTCCCCTTTTCCCTTTTTCCTTTTCCCCTTTCTCTTTTCCCCTTCCCTTTCACCCTTTTCCTATTACCCCTTTCCTCCTTTCCCCCTTTCGCCCTTTCCCCTTTCACCCTTTTCCCCTTTTCCTTTTTCCTATTCCCTATTCCCCTTTTCCTTTTTCCTATTCCCCATTCCCCTTTTCCTTTTTCCTATTCCCTATTCCCTTTTCTCTATTCCCTTTTCTCCTTTTTTCCCCCTTTTTCCCCTCTTCCCCCGACTAGTGCGCCCGGACGAGGACTGGAGGGGCGGAGTACGTGGAGAAGGAGTGCGGCGTCGGTACCTTCTTCCATCCCAGGCTCAAAGTGTGCGACTTCGAGGGTAACGTCGCCCTTGAGAAACCCGAGTGCAAGCGTATGTTGGTCTTCGTTTTTTTTTTTTTTTTTATTATTATTCTGTTTTTTTTTTTTTTTTTTTTTTTTTTTTTGGGGGGGGGAGGGGGGTTTCGGAGTTTGTTTTGTATTGGGTTTGTGTGTGTTTTTTTTTTCTTTTCTTTTTTGTTTTTCTTTTTTCTTGTTCTTAAATGGAATTCGTTTTGAATTGTATTTTGTGTGTGTGTTCTTTTTCGTTTTTTTTTATTCAGTTTTCTCATTCTTCTTTTTCTATTGCAACTTCTTTTGAACTATTTTGTGCGTATGTTCTTTTTTTCTCCTTCTTCTGTTTCTTTTTCTTTCGGAAGTTGTTGTGAAATGTATTTTATGCGTATGTTCTTCGTCTTCCTTTTTTTTTCCTTATCTAATTTTCTCTTTCTTTGTGGGGTTAATTTTTTACCTGTGATGAATTATGAACTTTATAGTAGGTTCTTCAATGTACGAGTCGCGGGTGAGCATGAGTTGTCAGTGCCTATCTGGATTAATAGAATAATATATATAAAATGAATTCATATATGTTTTTTTTTCGCCGGATTGAGACTAGTGAAATAGTTTAGTATGATGGAGAGAAAGCACTTTAAGAAAACCAACCAGGACCCCGATAGAACAGTTTGAAGATACTCTTTACCCTTGCCTCTTGAGCACCCCTTAGCCGTCCACTGATTACTATTAACCTGCTTTTGCCCCTTCCCCTTCCCCCCCTCCCCTGCAGCCATACCCCCGAAGATCTCCGAGCCTTCCAGCACCACCCAGGAGCCGACGAAGCCCGAGCCCTGCACCGAGGACTTCTGGACCGAGTGGTTCAACGTCTCTCACCCCGAGACGGATAGCGGCGACATGGAGACCTTCGAGAAGATCCGGGAGGAGGGTTTCGACATCTGCGACGACATGTACATCATGGACATCGAGTGCCAGTACAGCAAGGTGACCGAAGTGCCCGGCGACAGTTCGAAGGGCGGGTACAAGGGCGGGAGGAAGGGCGGAAGGAAGGGCGGACGGCGAGGCCCTCCTGAGCGCATCGTGACCCCGAGCGACTACACCACCAGTAGGGACGTGAGGGTTACCTGTTCTCGCGAGTTCGGCCTCACCTGCTTCAACTCCCACCAGCGCTTCAGGTCCAAGTGCGAGGACTACGCCATCAGGGTCCTGTGCTCGTGCGGTGAGTGGCAGGAACAGAGGCATTCATTATCTGGTGTCTGTCGGATTTTGAGTTCAAACGCCGGCGGGTTCACAAATTCAGATGCAAATGGTGGTGACAGAGACGACATTCCTTGAAGTCAATCTCGAAGTATTTTTGTTAGGTTTCATTTTTGTTCTTTTTCATTGATTATTCATTTACCTCCAAACGATATTTTCTATTATTATTATTATATATCTTTTATTAGATATTTCTCCATTTTCCTTTAACTATAATTTAATCCAAAGGCAGTCCTCAGAGCTATTTTTTTCCTCCCTTGATTATTTTCTTCCTCTCTTCCCCTCGACGCACGCGCAGAGGCCACGAGACCGACGCCACCGGCCAAGGAAGTCACCACAGCTTACACCGATGTCCGCGAATCCACAGTCGTCACTACGCCGGCGACGTCTGTGTACCGTGAGTTTTTTTTTTCTTTACGTTTCTTTTCTGGCTTTCTTTCTTTTTTCTCTTTCTTTCTCTTTTTTTTTTTGGTGTTTTATGATATTCGTTCCTTTGTTTTTTGAGTGTTTTTTTCTCATTATTATTGTTTTGACATTTTCTCATTTTCGTTTCCTTGTTTTGTTTTGCCTTCTTTTGCTTCCCACTTGTAAATAAATGGGCTAGGGCTAAGCGATGTTGTTGTTTTTTGTTTTGTTTTCGTCCATTCATGCATCTCTGAATTGTAAGCAACTGCATTTTAACCATGAATGAAATTCTACTTAAACATAACCGCATCGCCCTACAGATACGCACATATATTAGCCACTATATCATATAAATCAGTGGTTCTTGACCTTTTTACTACCACGCCGTCTCCTCTAGCAGTTTGCCCTACCCCTTCACGCCCCCTTACAACTATGAATACAATTCCCTCCCAGCTTTTAAGGGAAAATTTGAATATGTACTTAGTCCCTTTTAATAAGTATGTCACATTATTATTCATCTTCTTATTTAACCATACTCACGTTAAGAAAATAACATATATGATAAGATACTATTTATCCATAACCCTGCACTACGAAAACAAAACAAAACCAAAAGAAAACTTTAACCTTGATTCACGTGCAATAAATGAGAGAAAAAAAACGGAAAATAACGAAGTCTCTCTGTTGCAGAATGTCCTTTCGGCACACGGTACGAGCCGAACGCAATCCGGTGCGATCGAGTGTGCCTCAACTACCTGTACGTGTTGAAGCAGGCCGGAGAGTGCCAGGTGAGCTAGCCTGCGTGGTTGTGGGTCAGAGTGCCAGTTTTAGGTTCATTGGTTGAGGGGAAAATTGGTGTAGACTGTTTTGGGTGTAGCTTAGACTAGCTGATTGATAGATATGTGTGCATGTATACGTTAATTCATGCAGATATACATGCACTTGTACATACTTACGTACACACA